TGTGTATAATACACACTCGTGTGTTATATGCACCCTTAATTATGGGCAATTTAATTCTGGAAAAATATATCTGTCGTACATAAACATTTCAGGCTGTCAGCATAAACCTCAAAATTTATCTTTCAACTCTTTTTTTTTCACCAAAATAATATTCTAATAAGAGCCCCCTATTCCTAATTTTGAGAGCCCCCTGGGCGCTTATTACGTCGAATACAGTATTGCAATAGAGATGACAGATTGAAGAGTAGGACTGTATCCTATTTTGCTGGGCCCTCCTCCTTTTTTATGTGAAAAAAATTCATCCTTTCAATACATGTACCATTTTTTCATGACCATCCCCGGACCCCCATGTGAGGAAATAGGACTGTCAACAAGAAAAGGCCTTGTGTCAGCTGATTGCTTCGGAAGTTGTTGACAAGAAAGGTATCTCTAAATATATTGTCTGATATTAATTCTGTATGCATTTTACAAAACTGATAATAATTTTGGCTATTGGGTATAGTTAAACTTGAGCACATCATCGCCATCGCTGCCTTGTAAATAGTTCAGCTGATAAGTGTTTCATTTCCAGACCAGCTCCCCATGACAGGGTATAAATACCGTCATCATACTTAGTTATCGGAGTTAATGTATTAGCAGGAAGAGGATTTGGCTTGGGTATCACATTGCATCAAATATTTCCATCTCCATTTGTGCTTTCAATAGAAGTTTTAATGGGAAAACTTTCTTGATCATCATCATAGTTGTCTTAATGTAGTGAAAAAGCAATTCAAACAGGAGACATTTACACTGAAGAAATGTGGCTTGGTAGATGTTAATCTGAGCTGCATGATGTTTCTTGCAACTTTATCAAGGCCGAGGATGGAACACGCCACAACAGGTTAGAGAAGCTTGGCAGTACAGACACTGGCAGATACAGGAGATGGGGGTTCACCGGGGGACCCAGGGGTGGTGGGTGGTGGGTGGGTCCGGGGTGGGTGGCGCCCGGTGATCACTGGCAGAAAAAGGAGATGGGGGTTCAATGGTGGACCAAGGGGTGGGTGGGTGTTGAGTGGTGTTCACTGGTTGACCCAGGGGTGGCAGGTGGTGGGTGGTGGGTGGGTGGTGAGTTGGTGGTCAGTGTGTGGGTAGGTGGCGGTTGGTGATGACTGGTAGATACAGGGTGTGTGGGTTCACTGGAGGACCCAGGGGTGGCAGGTGGTGGGTGGTGGGTGGGTGGTGAGTTGGTGGTGATCACTCGCAGATACAGAAGATAGGGGTTCACTGGTAGACCAAGGGGTGGTGGGTGGGTGGTGAGTTGATGGTCAGTGGGTGGGTAGGTGGTGGGTGGCGGGTGGTGATGACTGGTAGAGACAGGGTGTGTCGGTTCACTGGAGGACCCTGGGTGGGTGGGTGGTGGTGTGTGTGTGGTGTGTGGGTGGTGATCACTGGTAGAGACAGGGTGTGTGGGTTCACTGGAGGACCTAGGGGTGGTGGTGGTGTGTGTGTGGTGTGTGGGTGGTGACCACTGGTAGAGACAGGGTGTGTGGGTTCACTGGAGGACCCAGGAGTGGGTGGTGGTGTGTGTGTGTGTGTGGTGTGTGGGTGGTGACCACTGGTAGAGACAGGGTGTGTGTGTTCACTGGTGGACCCAGGGGTGGTGGGTGGTGTGTGGTGGTGTGTGTGTGGTGTGTGGGTGGTGACCACTGGTAGAGCGAGGTGTGTGGGTTCACTGGAGGACCCAGGGGTGGTGGTGGTGGTGTGTGTGTGGTGTGTGGGTGGTGACCACTGGTAGAGACAGGGTGTGTGTGTTCACTGGAGGACCCAAGGGTGGTGTGTGGTGGTGTGTGGTGGTGTGTGGGTGGTGACCACTGGTAGAGACAGGGTGTGTGTGTTCACTGGTGGGTGGGGGTGTTGGGGGCAAAGTATGTATACAAAACAGTTCTGGGGCCTTGCAAAACATGACAAAGGCATTAAGACTATTGGTCCCATTGTTTAACACAGATTTACAATAGAGTTGCACTTCAATCGCAATATGCAAATGACTAATTGACATCACTTGGAACTGATGATGTCATATGCTTCTTCAACCACCACCCTGCTTAGACAAACATGACATTATCAAGAAATGTTAATAAGGCTGTGATTAGTTCAGACTATTCTTCAAATATCTTTTCACAATGTTTGCAACCAATCAGATTACAGCACACAATTTGATCAACACCTCAAGCTGCTGGATTACAGTGACACATAAATGACGCAAAGGGGGGCATGGGTGGCCCAGTCGTCTAAGGCGTCGCGATTCCCTGTGCAGAGTTGCGTCCCTTTGGGCATGCCAGAAACCTATGATCGTGGGTTCGAATCCCGGTTCGCCCCGATTATGTTTCTAGGTTTGTCAGCACCATACCTGTGCTCGTGGGTTTCACCGAAGTGGTAAACGTCTGAGATCTGCATCACTTCGGGCTTTCCCCCCACATTAAGCTGATACGCCGCGATATAACTGGAATACTGTTAAAAGCGGCGTTAAACCCAATTCACTCACTCACTCATGACGCGAAGTCTCTCCCTACTTTTACAAGTGATCCACTGGCCTGAGTGGTTTGGGTATTGGGTAATTAGTCATCTAAGCCTGCAATGCCAGTTAGAATATCCAGCCACATACCCTTATAACATAATCAATCATTTCCCCCAAAACAGACAACATATCTTCACCTTCTACACTGAACTGCTGCCTTGGAATTCAAAAATGAAACTGTATTTTAGTATACCGGTAATGTAAACACAAAAATGATCAAAAAGACACTGAACTGTTTGTTTGTTTGTTGTTATAGCAATATTCCAACTACATTGTATATGACGGATGTCTGTAAATAATCAAGTCTGGACCAGACAATCCAGTGATTGATATCATGAGCATCGATCCACGCAATTGGGATCGATGACATGCATCAACCAAGTCAGCGAGCCTGACCACCCGATCCTGTTAGTCGCCTTTTACGACAAGCATGGGTTGCTGAAGACCTATTCTACCCCGGAATCTTCACGGGACACTGAACTGTCATGACTTCAACTCTATTATGTGGTAATCCATAATTAATACAATTTTGCCCCTCTAACACGAACATAACTCCACAATTGAATTGACAAAAACATTGAAAGTCTGATATTTGCCTTACGGCAAAAAGACTGAGTCTGCTGGCCGAGCTCGGACACATTTGCTCCAGGTGGTGGCCATTATCTCTTCCAAACTGTATCCCCACGTTCAGATAGTTAGACCCCAGACTCGACATTTACATTGTCTGTATATTCCTGCCTCCAGGTTGAGCTCCAAACCAGGCACAAAGTCGTGTAAACATACTTTGTTCTTCAAAACCATTACCCCAGCCCTATAATGTTGATGCAGACAGCTCTAGGCGTGCACAGCCACGATTGAAAATGTCATCTCAATGACGCTGTAATGATGGACATTATTGAAACATGCATCAAACGTGCACTTCATCAAATGGCTGTGTTTATGCATCAAGGTTTAGAGTTTAGATAAATCAAGTCTAATTGTACAGTAGTCCGCCTCCTCATGATTTTTGTCAAATACCACGGATAGTTGATTTGAAAAATACTTAAAACACACGTTGTGAAGGTTATAACATGCCAAAAATATTGAACTTTCATCTGAAGAAATCCTGTATTTTGCTTTTCTTATTAGCTTTTATTATGTAAAGTAAATATCACTAACTTGTACTCCTAAACTGAGAGAGCACAAGATAGAGCAAGAAAACACATAAGATAAATTGTTTGACACAATGTCCATTTATTCTTAAGCTGTGCAATACTTGTTGGTCAAACAAAGGATATTCCAGCCAGCTTACTATATGATACCTGTTGACTTGGTGGTACCACTTCAAGTCTACACCAGAATATGTGCCTGGAGCATGGCCATTCATGAAACAGATTCTTGTAGAATGTCCGATAATTTATTGGAATGAAAACTTTATTACCGTATTCGACGTAATAAGCGCCCCGCTCTAATAAGCGCCCATGGCGATATTTGCTGAAATATTGGCTTGTGAACAATCCCAATTAGCACCCTTCCGATTGATCCATGTACACAAGACTTATATATTCGTGTATAATACGCACTCATGTGTTATATGCACCCTTAATTACGGGCAAATAAATTCTTGAAAAACATATCTGTTGTGTATAATACGCACAGACTTTTCTTTTGTATCATTTCTGGCTGTCAGCATAAACCACGAAATTTACGATCTTTCAACCCTTTCACCAAAATTATATTCTAATAAGAGCCCCCTATTTCTAATTTTGAAAGCGCCCTGGGCGCTTATTACGTCGAATACGGTATATCTGTTCAATGCAACATCCTGGCTATTTTAAAGCAACACTGTGCAGAATTTAATAACAGTGTTGAGAACTGCTCTGTTCTCACAGCACGAGAAGACATCACTAACACTGTTTGGCATTTGTTCACAATTTGTTCACAGATTCCAATGGCCCCCAAAATGACCCCAACACTGAAACAACAATGAATCACAAAAACACTATTTTTTCATTTTTATTCCATCGAAAGCAAACATGTGCGTTCTTTTGCATTCAATAGTTTAAGCTGCAGACCATCAAGACAAGTCTAACAAGTACTGCTTACACGGCAACATATTAAAATAAATATTTGAATTAGAAACAAAAAATCCATTTCTGTAAGTTTGCAACTTCGATATTGTTTGGACCAGTCGAAAGAGATAGGAGCATTTTAACCCTAACGCGTTGTCATTCATACCACCTATACCTGCAGGTATTTACTCATTTCTACATTCTAGCTCATCAACCGATATTCACTAATATATCCAAGTCAAAAAGAACCATTTCCCCAAAACAATCTTAAGTGGCATGAAGATCCAGTATATACTTCTATTCAGTTTAACCACCTCATGGGGTTATCATGCCAAGGAGATTTATGAGATAATCTGGCTGGTGATCTTTGACTGGGTTAATCTGCAGATGCTTACCTCATCCTGACTCTGACAGCTTCCGTTTCATTTCTTCTCGGATGTAAAAATATCCCGATGATACGAGCGGGGCTCAGGAAGAAAGCAGAGGAATATCCCAGGTCCTGGAATGGAGAAAGATCATTGTAAACTCGGCTCTGTCTAGTGATGACATATAACAACATGAAACATCGTGATCTGAAAATGCACATTGATAGATAACAAAGATGTAACAAGAAAATCCACTTATTGGTCTCAATGACTGATAGTGAAGTCAGGTAAAAAAACACCACAGCGATTACTACTCCTTCATTGTGAAGCCAGAACATATTCTACAATTTGGCGGTATTTGCCAGGCAGCAAGATCCAATGGTGGAGAGCGTCTGATTCAACAAAGTCAAGCGGTGAGGTAATTGATTGCGGGATTGCGAGGAGTGGAAGGGGATGGAGAGCCTGGATGATACGGGACGAGGGGAGGAGGTGTCCATGGTCATCAATAGCTGCTGAATTGATTGCAATTGATACTAATGATGGGCCCTTCCTGTGCAAATCACACACGCAGTTGGACAAATTCCCCACCCCATCATACAAACAATCCCTGCCCCTGTTTCTGGGCAGGCTCTCTTGGAATAAGCAGATGAAACAATTGTACATCATTTTCTTTCCAAATATGAAATTGATAGGGAAGTGATGTAGAAGTGCGACTGATATTTTCCACAATGCCGTCCTCCGACTGAGGAATTATCAGGCAATATTTTGTCAGTTATCTCTCAATTACATGGAAGCGCAGGTCAGTAACGCTGATGCTTGTACAGTCAGGGACAATGGTCTTGGTAAATAGCGACGTGAATTGTGGACACGCATCATGCGCACCTGCCTTAGAGCTATTTGCTCGGTGAGAACGATCCGCTGGAGAAAGTGACGACAACAAAGATTGGAACTGACAGAAACAACAGAGGCTGTTTCAGAAATTAACACAAATTACACAGTTAGCGGACAAAGTCAACAGTCAACGATGTGCCAGTCATGATGATAGAGAACGATTTTAGCTGAAGTGAGAGTTGATGGGATCAGGCAACTAGGACAATGCCATGCTCAATTAACCTTCCCAATATACTCAAAGTAACAATAATAAACTTCATACTTATACTCAAGGCCAATCCAAAGGTAGCTCTTAATTATAGATTCATAATAACTGAAAATTGATGATATACTACTCACAAAAAGTTAAGGACCACTGGATTCTTTCATATTACTATAGCTGATCAGTCATGGCACATCATCATCTATTGTAATTACATAAAGTAGCATGAAACAACAGGGTGTCCTGAACTTCCTGAGATTTTATTTATCCTCCAACATCATTCTTCCAGCTTTTTCTGTTTGTAGACAGTAATAAGCAGTGTCTTAGTGTAAAAAGAACTGCTAACAGGTTCAGGAGCAGAGCCATTAGTGATGTCATTTGATTGTGACGTCATGGTAACCAATGACGTCACAATGGTCTGCAAAGCATTGTGATGCAATTTCATTGAAGCGATATCTACAGTCTAGATATCGCTTGATCTCACCCAAGCAATATCTCCTGTGGGAGCCAGTTTTGGATGATAAATAGAGAATCTCACCCGAGTGTCTTTTGATATCAAATATATCAACACGAGTTGATAAAAGTGGAAAAACTCCGAGGCTTGCCGAGGATTTTTTTCCACTTTTATCGAGTGTTGATATATTTGATATCAAAAGACACAAGGGAGAGATTTTATTTATCATCTAACATCATTCTTCTAACTTTTTCAATTTGTAGAAAGTAATAAGCAGTGTCTTAAGTGTAAAAAGTACTGCTAACAGCTTCAGTAGCAGAGCCATTAGTGAAGTCATTTGATTGTGACGTCATGGTAACCAATGACGTCACAATGGTCTGCAAAGCATTGTGATGCAATTTCATTGAAGCGATATCTACAGTGCAGATATCGCTCGATCTCACCCAAGCAATATCTCCTGTGGGAGCCAGTTTTGGATGATAAAAAAGCATCTAAACCCTTTCCATAATCAAAATCTCTACTAAAATCAGAGTCTATTGTATGATTCCGACTATATCATGAGCATGTGTTTATGAATCACTATCAAACAGTGATGACACCAGGTGTTCGAGAAAAGTGAGCATATCCTTCCCCACCCATCAGAAACACAAAGACATGAAATACACAAAACAAAAATGGCCTTATGAATGGTATGAAAAATATATGACTTCACTGACTGATCAATCCGTGTTCACATCGATGAATGAATCAGGGAGTTTAGTCTCTCCATCATTCTCCATCCATCTACCTCTGTGGTATTATGAAAACCTAAATGATGCAGGTCCTGTTTTAAGATGGGTCATATTGAAAAAATATACCAAACGAAAGAACTGCGACTTTTACAGTATGTACTCTGGATAACAATCATTAACATGAATGTGTTGCTAAATATTTTAAGATACGGCAACACTTAAAGAGAACAAATATAGTATCTTTGCTTGGAATATGAAACATTGATGCATGACATTAATAGTCCATAGAGTGCAGGGTTCACGGGGTGCTCCAGACAGGGAGGATTAACTCTCTCACTTACATCAACTGAAAGTTCTGAATGTCAGCTATGGGAATTAATCAATATTACAGACATTTTAACTTATTTTTTTAAAACATGAAACAAAACTACAAACAAGGTTGGAAGTGAATATAGAGTAAAGCTGATGAGTGAATTCCATCTGTTGCCTATTCCCTGCCCTTACAGCGGAATCCATGAAGATTCGGGGTAGAATAGGTCTTCAGCAACCCATGCTTGCCGTAAAAGGCGACTATACTTGTCGTAAGAGGCAACTAACGGGATCGGGTGGTCAGGCTCACTGACTTGGTTGATGCATGTCATTGATCCCAATTGCGTGGATCGATGCTCATGATATTAATCTCTGGATTGTCTGGTCCAGACTTGATTATTTACAGACCGCCATCATATAGCTGGAATATTGCTGAATGTGACGTTAAACAACCAACCAACCAACCAACCAACCAACCAACCAACCAGCCAACCAACCTTACAAGGGAAAATATTGAAGGAGTTGGGTTTGATGCCGCTTTGAACAGCTCGTACATCCAGCTTGCATCAGTTATATCCTGGTATGTCAGCTTGAGGTGGGAGGAAGGCCTGGAGTGCTGAAGGTCTTGGTGAGCGAAATACGGTTGAACAGCTTGTTCAAGATTATAGCCCATTACAACGAGGTGCATGCTCGTGTGCTGTGTCTGTGTGTGTGGCTGCTTGTACTTGTCTGGAGTCATGCTGAGTTTGTAGTGCTAGCCCATGGGATACCACACAGGGATCGAACTCTCAACGTTCCACTCTCCAGGCAGATGCTCTATCCACTAAACCACGACGGCAATCTTGCAGGTCTTTGATGAGTTTGTGAGTGAGTTGGGTTTTAACGCTGCTTTTAACATTATTACAGTTATATCGCGGTGTGTCAGCTTAATGTGGGAGGAAAGCCCAAAGTGATGCACGTCTCAGACGTTTATTACTTCGGTGAAACCCATGAGCACGGGTATGGTGCTGACAAACCTAGAAACATAATCGGGGCAAACCAGGATTTGAACCCACAATCATAGGTTTCTAGCGTGCCAAAGGGATGAAGCTCTGCACAGCGAATTGCGGCGCCTTAGATGACTGGGCCACCCATGCCCCAAGGTCTTTGATGAAACTCAGAAGCATGTGAATGGTATCATAAGTAGAGTGGATTTTCATAAACAGGAGAGGTGCACTTTGTATTAAACATACAAGTGCTGGATGAATGCAGATAATCTGGTTATGTTAAAGCATTTCTCTAAATGGGTTGGTCATAGTGTTGTGATATGTCTTCCTGTATATACCTGATGGTCTATGAGACAGGATAATTTCTGTATTCTGATTTCTGCTACTGTACATTTTTTGTACTCTGATTTCCACCAGGGAACATTTCTGCTTTCTCAGATTTCAGACAGTGTATGTTACTGTATTCTGATTTCAGACGGTAGGTTACTGTATTCTGATTTCAGACGGTATGTTACTGTATTCTGATTTCAGACAGGGTACATTTCTGCTTTCAGATTTCAGACAGTGGATGTTACTGTATTCTGATTTCAGACGGTAGGTTACTGTATTCTGATTTCAGACGGTATGTTACTGTATTCTGATTTCAGACAGGGTACATTTCTGCTTTCAGATTTCAGACAGTGGATGTTACTGTATTCTGATTTCAGACGGTAGGTTACTGTATTCTGATTTCAGACGGTATGTTACTGTATTCTGATTTCAGACAGGGTACATTTCTGCTTTCAGATTTCAGACAGTGTATGTTACTGTATTCTTATTTCAGACAGTGTATGTTACTGTTTTCTGATTTCAGACAGGGTATGTTCCTGTATTCTGATTTCAGACAGTGTATGTTCCTGTCTCTGATTTCAGACAGGGTATGTTACTGTTTTCTGATTTCAGACAGTGTATGTTACTGTTTTCTGATTTCAGACAGGGTACATTTCTGCTTTCTGATTTCAGACTGGGTATGTTACTGTATTCTGATTTCAGACAGGGTATGTTTCTGTATTCTGATTTCAGACAGCGTATGTTACTGTATTCTGATTTCAGACAGGGTACATTTCTGCTTTCAGATTTCAGACTGGGTATGTTTCTGTATTCTGATTTCAGACAGGGTATGTTACTGTATTGTGATTTCAAACAGGGTATATTTCTGAAATCTGATTTCCACCAGGGTATGTTTCTGTTTTCAGATTTCAGACAGGGTATGTTACTGTATTCTGATTTCTGCAGCACCCTACATGACTATGACCCCTCCAGTGACACTTGCAATGTATGACATAAAATGCTGACATCGAAAAAACTTTTGACAGTTAATTCACATCAACCACGCGCAGACATGACCGAGTGTGTAGGACAAGAGGAGCACAAGATAAAAAGCGAAGAATGACAATAGCAGAAAGTAGACATGTACGATGTATCAACAATATTGATTGTGCCGATGTGGAGGGTGACACACATTCCCTCACACTGACCGGAATCGGCTCCACAGCGTCAGTCTCACAAAACGTCCAAACAC